CAGCACTTTCAGCTTCACCAAATTTCATTAACATATGAGTTGCTGAAGTTAATACAACATTATCATTTCGATAATTATCAGGCATTTCATCAAAAAGTTTTTTTCCAATCTTCTTTGCTCGATCATTGGCAAGTTGACTACATGCGTTAAAAACTATAGTATAGGTTACAGTGTCTAACTTTAAATGAATTTGTTCAAATAAATCTAAGGTTTTTTCTGACATTTCATTTTCAATATATCCTAAATTAAATTTGACAATATTCAAAAAACTATCTAATGTATATTACCTTTCATCATAGCACCATAAGTAATAATATTTTTCTCTTTAATTGAATGAAAAACACGTTCAGCACTTTGAATATCACCAAATTTCATTAACATATGTATTGCTGAAGTTAATACAACATTATCATTTCGACAATTATCATGCATTTCATGAAGAAGTTTTTTTCCAATCTTCTTCGCTCGATCATTTGCAAGTTGGCTACATGCATTAAAAACTATAGTGTGAATTACACTATCTAACTTTAAATGGATTTGTTCAAATAAATCCAAGGCTCTTTCTGACATTTCATTTCCAATATATCCTAAATTACATTTGACAATATTCCAAAAAACTATCTAATGTATATTACCTCTCATCATAGCACCATAAGTAATAATATCTTTCTTTTTGATTGAATGAAAAACACATTCAGCACCTTGAACATCACCAAATTTCATTAACATATGTATTGCTGAATTTGATACGAAATTATCATTTTTATAATTATTAGGCATTTCATGAAGAAGTTTTCTTCCAATCTTCAGTGCTCGATCATTTGCAAGTTGAGCACATGCATCAAAAACAATAGTATAAGTTACACAATCTAACTTTAAATGGATTTGTTCAAATAAATCTAAAGCTTTTTCTGACATTGTATTTCCAATATATCCTAAGTTAAATATGACAATATTGATAAAGCTGTCTAACATCTATTACCTTTGATCATAGCATTATAAGTAATAATATCTTTATTTTTGATTGAATGAAAAACACGTTCAGCACTTTGAACATCACCAAATTTCATCAACATATGTATTGCTGAAGTTAATAAGATATTATCATTTCGATAATTATCATGCATTTCATCAAGAAGTTTTTTTCCTATCTTCATCGCTCGATCATTGGCAAGTTCACCACATGCATTAAATAAAATAGTAAGAGTAAAATTGTTAGGTTCAATTGTCATTTCATTAAATAAATCAAGCACCTTGTCTGGCATGTTATTAGACATTAGACCTATTTATAACAAATATTGAATAAGAAAAAAAATCATTAAGAATATTCACCTTTGAACATAGCTGTATAGATATAATGGGATTTGTTTGTAATTGTAGAGAATAGACGAGTTGCATTATCGATATCATGACGTTGCACTATGAATAAAAAAAAACCATGTCCGATATATGTAAATAGTGAGTACCATTAACCGTTTAGTATATGATGGCCTTTTTGTTGAAACTGTTGGCATACTTTTAGTGACTCAATCTTAATACTTTAATTTAAAAGAAGAATATGAAAGGATATTATTTTGTGTAGAACAAAAAAAACAGTGAGTTTGTTGTACTGATTTGAGATATTGACGAGCTTCGATTTGTGTAAATGAAATCTATAATTATCCAAGTCTAATTTTACACAGAAAAGATAAAAAATGAAAAAGGATTTTTTTTGCTAAAGATAAATGTGTTGATTCATCGAAGTATTCATATATTTTTAGTATTATACAATCATATTCTGATTGATAGAATGAATGACTCACTATAAAAGCGAATTAATGATGTTTGAATATAAGGATTATTCAATGAATTTGATGAAAGCTTTTGTTGAATAGTAATACCACGTTTGTAATCATTCAATATTGTACATGCTTTTATTGCCATATCAATAGTAAAATTATTACATATCTCAGTTTGTTGATCGAAAAGATCTAGAGCTTCTTTATATTGTTTGGAATCGATTAGTTTCTTCATTCTTGAGTTTAAAGTTACAGATGATGAAATCGAATATTTTTTGTTGTTGTTCTGATATGATGATAAAAAATATCGAAATCGATACATCGAATAACTATTATATTTAATCAATAACATGTCATAATCTAGAATAATAAAAATACTATGGAAATATACTTATTTTCAAAAAGTATTTAAAAAAAAGTAATTGTAAAAAAAAATCCTCTTGAAATTGATTGTTGAAAGTCCGGCCCGATTTTGTTAATATGTCATTTTCATTTTCAAATCTTTCCCTACACATATAGGCCCCGAACAGATCAACTAATTCAAAGTGAATTAAAACTGAATTAACGAATAAATCGTCTCAAAACGACGATTTGCATTGAAATAGATCAATCACGTTGCTTGATTTGTTTTAGTTTTTTCACTCTTTTCGGAGCTATAGAGTTGAGTCATATTCTTATATTAATTGGTACATCTAGTCGTCAATGTGATGCTGAGGACCAGAAAAAAAATACCACTAAACTGCAATAATGCCTATTTTCTGTATTATTCTTCTGAAAACAGCAATATTGACATCGATTTATTGATTTTTTTGTTGATTCGATAGATGTAGACACATTCGGTACACATGTTAATATCGAAGTTGAGATTACATTCAATCTCTCGTTAGCCTGGACAAATCTCGGATTCAAGACTGGACGCATTTAATTTCGGATTGGAGGAGAAATTTATGTTAAAACTCGAGTTAGTTTGTAGATCGATGCCGAATTCGGATTTTTTCTCCAATGGATTGTGAAGAATAAATGGCATTTCAACTAATAAAATCATCAGTTGATCAATTAAATTTGAATCCACGAACTAATGAACAATTTCCATTATAGCAGTTTCTGTGTATAAACTTGTTCACAATTTCACTAATTCAAATTTAATCGATCAATTGATGATTTTATTGGTTGAAATGCAACTGTTTTCTCTCAGTTCAATAATAAGAGTCTGAATCCAACATTGATCTATAGACTACTTTCAGTTTTAACATAAGTCTCCCCTTCAATTCAATAGTGAACGCATCCAAACTCAGATCCAAGATTCACTCGGATCAATCCAAGATGGGACGTAATCTCAGTGTAGACGCTAACATATATATCGCAGTGGCGGATCCAGAATTTCTGAGAGGGAGTGGTACTTTCTAAATTTAGTGGCGTGACCAGAATTCCAGGCTAAGGAGACTCAGCCACGAACGTTTTTAAAAATTGAACAAAGCTAGTGCTAAGTATGTTTCACTTTTTTTTTTGCAAAAAGGGAACTAAGGCTCTGACCTATCTGAAGTATACGAGGCTAGTTGAGACAGGTATTTCAACACTTTACAATTTCTTACAGGGTATTCTCGAAATTCACATTTTTTAATCCTAAAAGTAACACTTTTCGTGTTCGATACCTACGATGAATACGATTCCACATAATAATTCGGACCTAAGTGATTGTCAAAGATAACTTCCAATATGCTGTTTAAACCAGAAACTATGCACTCGAAATTAGTCACATGCTATGTAAGGAGCATAATGATTCTAAATGGAATAGTTAGAAGCGTTACTCTTTGTACCCAAACCGCTTCAAAAATGAAAATACGCTGCATTAGAACAGAGTCAAAATCAGTGATAAAATGAAAAATATGATAGTCGATTTAAAATATATTTGTAAGTCTGCCCATCAAGATCTCAGGGAGTGCCGGAGTGTTCTTCTTTGTTCATTACATCAGTGTCAAGGGCTTTTGCAATGCATCACATCCAGTCTGTTAGAATATGATCATAAAGCTTTTTCGAGCAATAAACACCTGATTTCAAGAGAAAATTTTCGACAGAACTTTTCCGATTTTACTGATATGAAGTCAATTTTGGGTGACATTATCAGATGGCGATTCGTTTCACTACTGGCTGCAGCTCAGATAAAAGCGAAAATGTAGAGAACCACCTAGAATAGCCGTAAAACATCGTTGCAACAAAATCTTGATTATTCTTGTCACGAATCGCTTTAAATGAAAAGTGTTCATTTTTGATATCACAGATTTTGCGGTAAGTAAATTCACATTAAAAGTTGGTTTTGTATCTTTCAGATTTCTCAGTAAATGATTTTCCAGAAGGAAAATCTAAACTTGTTTTTTTTAGCACGAGATCGATAAGAATGGAACAAGAATTTTTAGTAGTCTGTATGAGTTAATTTACGAGAGTATTTTGGACGAATGAATTACTTAAATAATATATTCAGTTCAATGTCGTCCTATACACAATGGCAATGTAGGCGACCATGCTTCGACACGTTACTAAAAGTCGTAATGAATAATTCCAAATAAAACTTATTGAAAACAGATTCATTGCCGATCAGATGAATAATTTGAATCTAACACAAAAATTTCTCTATCTTTCTTATGAAAGTATATTAAGACTACAATGACTAGATCGAAAACTTTCTACAATCAGAAAGAAGTTAATCGATTTCTCCGTTGGTTTAAAAAATTAATAATGTTCTTCCATTTTATCAAAGAAAAATATCGGATATTGCATAAGACGAACTCAAGTGTCTTGCTCACTCTGCTCAGAATAGCCTCCCAAACGAAAAACAATTCTATTTTTCATGAGAACTAAACAATTTCTAGGAAACACTCAAACAATCCTGAGGAGGTGGCGCAGGCCGTCGTAGTCTTCCTCGTGGTCAGTCCAATAACTTCATTTACTGATTTTGTTTTCGATCTTTTATTGTTACCCAAATATTTTAAAAATTTCCGTCGTCACTTCTATTTTCAGGGGGAAGGAGGTTGGAATGGCGATCGCCGGATAGCTGAAATGGTGGATCCGCCAGTGCATATTGGTACAATGTTCAATAGAAATCTTTTTTCTAAAGCATTCTATAGTCACTGGCAACACTTTACCTCCTAAATAACTAAATAACTAAAAAAAAAGAAAACGACCTTCTTTTTATCGAATTTACTTAAGGCAACTGTTTATGTTGAGGTTTGATTAGTACAGATGGAATTAGTTCCGATGAAATCTACCACTAACATAAATATTGGTCACAAGTTAACTTCGATGAATATGATTGTCTTCTGAAGAAATAGTTTGTAGGAAAACAGTAGTTGAATACACATTCTGTGTTTTCTTTTATGTTTGTTTCGAAAAATGTGTTTGGGCCGTATTGAAAAAAGAAATTCGTTCTCAGACGCATAAATACTCACCGAACAAACTTCGAAGTACATGCATGAAGTTAGGTTTTCTTCAACTATAAAAATCTGTTTTGAAATAAACACGTTTCTGAATTTCTAGAAGAAATGTATAGACGAACAAGCTTTTTTAATTAATACAAAACGAAATTTTATCAAATATGTTACTATTTTACAAAGATCCCTTCTTATGCTATACCCGCGAATGTGGACTCTGCCCACTAGATCGTACGGTCATAGAAAGGGTGTGGGTGCGGACTCAAACGAAAGATAGTCACACCGCACACCGACACTCACCCAACACCCACACCCTCAAGATAGTTTATAAGCCGATGACATAGTTTTACAATGAATGAGTTCTAGAAAACAAACATAAGGCTTGATTTGATTGTCGATTCTCCGTTCTACGTTTTTTTTTGAGTATTCAATGAAAAATAAACTCTATTATTGATAGGTGTACACAATCAAACCAATAAGGAATAACTGCCAATTCCCAAACGATTGGTTAATTATATTTCTTCAGATTGTACGTAAGATTTTGAATAATGAAAGAAAAAACAAATCAATATCTTCTTATTTTCTAGTTCTTCCAACATTTTCTGAAGGCAAAGGATTTGGAGGTGGAAGAAGTGGTGGTGGTGGTGGTTTTAAAGTTGGTTCTAAAGGATCAGGAACATTTGGTGGAGCATCAAGTTATAATCAAGGAAATAGTTATAGACCTCCTATGAATCAACCGTAAATAGTTTGATTGGTGTTTTGTTTTTGTTCTTGGTTTTCTATACTTTCT